TATCATTCTGATGGCGGATTGTAATCCAGAATGGATTATGTGTTTATGAAACACATGTGAATGAAATTAAATTATATTCCAGTTTTAAATGTGCTTCTGATTACAGATAGCCTGGGATTACACAAGATTTGTATTTTAAAGACAACCAGTTCGAAGGGAGCATAATTTGCTTTTTAGGTTAAAAGAATTTCTTAATATGAAATTCGAATGGTATGACAATTAGAGATTATACTGTACAGAAATTGAAATCTACAAGCTAATACACACTATATTCACATAGACACGTAATGCTGATGTTGTTAGCATTAACAATTTGAGAATAAAGTATAACAATAATAATAATTTGCACGGTTTGATGTGATATGAGCTAACCGATCTTTAGATTAAATCACCATTGGTAGCACGATTTATTGTAATGCTTTTTTCCTCAGTTGGTCAGAACAAACGTGGCAGACTTGTTACTTATTGTTCAGATGGCAATATACGGTGAAAATTCTTACTTGGGTCATATATTCCAAAACGTAGACGAGAATCTGTGATTGCGAAGTACAGTGAATATCCACACTGGTTCGGTGACTGGCTGCCACATGTACTCCTCACAACATTAGATTCATCTGCGCTGGAGCCGTGCCGCCGCACAACCCACGCAAGGAAGATAATTCCGCACAGCTGCAATAGCAGGTTTTCAAACAGAGATGGCGACAAAGAGGCAAAACTTACGGACTGCAGCTTTAATGAAATAAAATGTCCTAGTAAGTGTACCTAAAGCGAGTAAACTTAACACACTTAAGTACAGAAAAGTATGAGTGCACTTAAGTAAAGTGCACTGTAATAATGTCACAAATGGTCTTTAAAGTACATATTTAGCTACATTTGTTAACTTACATTCTAAAGCACATGTAATTATTTGTATTAATTACATGTATTAAATATAATTTTAACTGTAATGTGATATTACAGTCAATAATCAAAATTATTTTATATTGCAATTAATGTTAATATAATTTAAAGCTGAAGACTGCGGTCCATAGCCATTTTTGGTTAAAGATTATCCAAAATCAATTTATTAGCAAGTAACCAGCCAGTGTTCAAAACTATCTCTTTACCTTATCCCGATCCACAACGGTAAGCTTGGACTGTGTTCTAATTTAAAGTACACATGAAATCAAAATTAAGTATATTTATTTTGATAGTGAAGAATGCTATTTTTGTGGTGATCCACAAAAAATTCTTCTTCTTCTTCCGTTTTTTGGCGCGTTGCATTCTTTGTATATATCGCCACCTACTTTTGCTGCTGTTGTGCAGTGATGATTTATTTATAGTCAGTTTTTCCCTGTTTTTGCTCTTGACTCTTTCTCGCATATCCATCCATATATTTATATATAATTATTTGATGCTCCATCCCATTCCATCTCCCAAAGTACCACCTGGCGTTGCGTGTTCAGCTCCTCCAGACTGGACAAAAAAAATTAGTTTGCCTTCGTAATCTTTAATCCAAATTTGAAAATGCACCTCCCCGTCGGAAATGACTGGCCTTCTCTGATGACGTCAGTTTGACGGTTTGGGCTTGAGCATAAGCCACGCCCCTCCTAGTGTGCCGCGTGAGCTTCGACACAGCGCGCGAAGGAAAAACCGCGTAGTTAACAAACAGAAATGGCGAGGAGGTGCCTTTTAGGTTGTGGTTCTCCCGAAACCCTTTTCCCAATCCCCAAAATACCTTGGTTGCGGTCACGATGGCTCGGTTTTTTGCACTTCGAGGAAGGGGTAATATCTCCTCCAGACTGGACAAAAAAAATTAGTTTGCCTTCGTAAACTAATTTGAAAATTTGAAAATTGAAAATGCACCTCCCCCTCGGAAATGACTGGCCTTCTCTGATGACGTCAGTTTGACGGTTTGGGCTTGAGCATAAGCCACGCCCCTCCTAGTGTGCCGCGTGAGCTTCGATACAGCGCGCGAAGGAAAAAGCGCGTAGTTAACAAACAGAAATGGCGAGGAGGTGCGTTTTAGGTTGTGGTTCTCCCGAAACCCTTTTCCCAATCCCCAAAATACCCTGGTTGCGGTCACGATGGCTCGGTTTTTTGCACTTCGAGGAAGGGGGGATATCAGAGAGGTCGCGGTTGTGTTCGAAGCATTTCACACGCGAATGCTTCAAGAATTGGACACAACACGAAATGGGGTTTGTGAAATATCTGTCATTAACAGATACGGCTGTCCCATCTGTCTACACCGTTGGTTCCTCACAAAGTTTGAAGGTAAGTGAAACTACCTAGCAACCAAGCTTCTTCAGACGTTAAACATAATACAGGGATGCCAGCAGAAATTCTTGTCATAGTACACACAATAAATTAACCCTTTCATGCATGAATTAGGGCTGCCAACTCTCACGCAATTGACACGTTTCTCACGCCACACATCCATCTTCTCACGCAGTCAAAAGCACCCTCAGTTAAAACTACTAGGATATTGACAAAATAGATTTGGTAAAGGCTCCAGTGCGTATTTGTGTTTGCACTCTGGAAATCGCCAAAAGATTGCATTTACAACGTGTTTTCGTAGCGCTGATCAATGTAGCCAATCACAGACATATCAGTTGATTTCTTGAACACCTGTGATTGGCCATTGCTATCAAGTTAGTCTAAATTCACTTGCCTCTGAACGCCTAATCCTCACACTGTAAATATAATTTCTTAGACATGTTCAAGCAATGCAGACTAATAGATTAATATCAAAATATTTTTTAAATGCGGTTGCAATTATTTATAAAAGTAGCTAATGACTAGTAAATCTTTTCGCAATTCTTTCACTGCACATTGCTATTCTTGTTGTGGTAAAAAAAAAAGTGAATAGTTTTGCAGCACTGCAGCATTTATTTTACATAATTTTATGATAAAAATACAGTATAATAATAATGTCCAGATGTCAGACAAAACTGCTGACAGGTGTTTTATATATATTTTTTGTATTAAAAATATAACATAAATGTTCTTTAACGTTGTGTTTCGTGCAATTGCTTTGGCAAAGTGTCCATCAAACGAACAAAGCGTAATATGGCTTTATCCCCTCATCAAGTCTGTTTGCACTGCTTAAGCACTTAGCGCACGCGATCAGCTCGTGATGCGCTTTTCTGCATCTCCGAGCACTCAGTTCACAAGTGAATGCAGTGAACTCCATTACTGCGAGTTTAGCGCGCATCTGGGAACGCAACGGCCACCAGTTACGCTTTTTCACATCAGCATAATTTTCAACATTTTAATGGGCAAATGGTTACAGTATTACACTAGATTTATAATGAGACGCGTTTGTAAACCTGTTTTCACAGAAGCTGGAGTTTTCCGTCAAAATAAAAGCTCATAGGTTTATCTCTTGCAAGAAAGGACTGAAATTAGCAGATGCACACAAAGAAAATACTGTACAGTATGTTTATTGGAAGAAAAATATAAATATTGCGTTTGGGGTTTAAATGAATGTATTTCAGAAGGGAACTGACTTCAGAGACGTTTCAATGGCATTTTTCTCTCTTATCACTGCTGTTCCATAAGCGCCACCTGCTGTCAGAGAGTGAAATTCAGCCAGCCTGCTGTTTTTTATGCCGGTTTTAGCATAATTTCACAATGCTGAAGTTCTGTTTTTGCTTCAAATGTTGAAATGATAAAATCAAATTTAAATAATAATAAAAAATTGTTCATGCTACATGTCTGTAGCATCTTTGCAGTGTTTGGTTCTAATTTTAAATTGTTTATTATTATTATTATTAAATATGTTTAGTTGTTGTAGTAGCAGTTTCATGAAGGAAAAAATATTTATGGCTGGTAAATTCTCAAATCACCAGAAAATTTTGTTTGTATCATGATTAAAATGGCAGATGTGGCAATAAGTTTTAGGCCCTGCTTGCAAGTGTAGAAATTAGGACAAAAGTATTGTAATTTCCCTACTGTAGAATAAGGTAAAATAGAGCTGCACGATTAATCGTTAAAAGATCGCGATCTCGATTCAGACAACCACACGATCTCATTTCTAAATGACAATGATTCTCCCATGTCTATTAAACCTTTGACAAAGTCTTATCGGATCATTCAAATCTGCGTTCGCACTGCCGCTGACACAGAGAGCAGTTACCATGTTTGGTTAAGAAACCGCTTCACAAACAGTCTTTTCAACTACACAGTATTATTTCTGTCGTACAGTCATTCATATTATCACAGAAATACTGGGATGAAAGTTTATAATTCAGATATAAACATTGATGTCTATGGTAGCGCGACCAAAATAGAGCAAATCCGCATTCTATTGTATTTTGTCACGCCGCTCTCGTCCGGTGTAGAATAGAACCCATTATAATCAGTGATGTTGTCTACACCGGATTCAGTAAACTGATGCCTCGTTCTATTTATGACGTGCTGACAGAAGTTCAAATGATTTTCAACGGTCGCTTTGTCGCATCCTGTTGCGGCACAGACACGGTGTCAGCATAGTTTGTCAGTACATGTCAGACTCATTTTGAATAATAAAGTTTATTGTTAAATTGTTAAATACCCTGCCTCCATTACATAGGCCTATGTTTGTCACATCATTATAAGTATTTGATCACCACATTTGAGTTATCATTGCAAAAAATGTTTATGTATATATATTCTGTTTATTTAGGCTATATACTGTATTCAATATACAGTACCATAGTACTGTTTATTTAGGCTATATACTGTACTATAATATAGCCTACACATAAAGAATATCGGCCGATATATCGGTATCTCTTTTTTTACTCCCTAATATCGGTATCGGCATCGGCCCCCAAAAAACCCATGTCGGTCGGGCTCTAATCACAACTAAAAAAAGGATTGAGACGCCGCTTTCAATCCCATAATGCACCGCGTGAGCGTTTAAGCTCAACTTCCATAGGAATTAATTGAAAACGCTCGCTCCACTGCGCTCACTAAAGACAATAATTAATTGGAATTGTAGACGACACTTTGGGGGTTCGCTAGTTTGTGGTTGGGACATGGTGCTACAACTTAAATGGTTCAAAATGGCTTCCAAATATCTGTCCACTGTAGTGGACACCATGCATGAAAGGGTTAAATAAATTATTTTTGGCGCATGAACACGCCAACACAAAAGCACTAGTTTAGTGCTGAGATTCATCACACAACCCTCTACGCACACCTTGGCAATATAATCGCCATTGGCTAGTAAATTTTTTAGTTTACTCGCCAGACTGATATACTATTTTATACACACACACACACACACACACACACGTTTACTTAGCTATCTAAATGGGGACATTACATAGACTTCTATTGTTTTTATATACAGATAGTTATACACTTCTTAACCTAAACCCACCCCTACCCCTCAAAGAAAACTTTCTGCATTTTTACAATTTACTAGTTTACGGTACGTCAAATACAGGTGCGCTGCGTGCTACATACTGCGCATCCATTGAGTACATGACATGATCCATTGAGCGTATCCAAATAGTGCAGATCGCTTGACGGAGAGTGAAACTCTCAAGCGCTCAGTCAGCGTGTTTATCGAGTGAAAATCTGTGTTGAACGTCTCTCACACACATACTGGCGAGTAAAATCTAAGAATTTATTAGCCAATGGCTAATGTTAGACATAATTTAGTCGCCCAGAGTAAGATTTAGTCGCATATGCGAGTGATTTACTCGCAATGTAGAGGGTTGTCACAAGAATCATCTCTCCCTCTTTACTACTGGTTATATCATTAAGTACAAATGATTGAACATCAGATGGTATGTTGAAGAATACAGTAAAGCTTATTGATCAGTGTTTCAACCGCAGAAATCTCAAGAAAGACAGTCCCCTTAGGAATAATTCTTACTCAGTTTAATTCAAAATTTGGCAGTCCTGTACAGTGATGTATTTTTGCGTTGCACCCATATCATACTGTGATGCAATTCCTTTTATACAGCCCCTAACGAGAGATGTGGCATGTCAATGTGATGCACCATATTTGAAGAGTGTGTCGATCCAAACAATAACACAAAAGCTGAAAAGACGGAGTAAAGGTAAAGTTATAGGCTACTATCTATGTTTATCTTAAAGGGGTGGTTGACTGCTTTTTTTTTTCTTGGCTTGATTGTGTTTATGGGGTACAGTCTAACATGTGTTAATGCTTCATTTTTAATTTAATTTTATGAAGCCCCTCCCTCAGAAATACGCAATGGGCTCAGATTGGTTAGCTGGTCCAGTGTATTGTGATTGGCTCAACCGCCTAGTGCAGTCCAGAAACGTCACGACCCACGCCCCTCACCTCAGTGGCGCTCCGGCGTTATATTGTGAACAATGGCGTTGTCAATATTGCTTATCAATTTGAGCAGAAAGAGACCCAGAGACCATCGTGCAGAACCTGTGCAAGCACAGCTCTTATGGGTTTCAGAATGGTATGTTTTTTTGTTTGTTGTTGTCTCATACTTTTAGATACTCTGTTATTTGTAAATGCTACTGCTTATGTTAGCTTCTAATATACGGTTTTATCCTGATTAAAGCTTTAATACAGCAGAATACATGAAAGCGTTGTAGTATTTTTGTAACAGTAAGAAGTGTTTTCCAGCATGTATTGCTTGCTACCATGGCAACCGTCCATGTTTAACGCTTCTCACTTCTCGTAGCTATGTGAAAAATATCTATTAGGGGTGGGGGGAAAAAATCAATACAGCATAGTATTGCGATATTTTCTGCGGCAATATTGTATCGATACACGGACGCCAAGTATCGATCTTTTATTATACTATTTGGTAGAATAATAAAATCAATTTCTTTACAATCCACTAGATGGTGGTGTTGAGTTTTTTCTGGTGAGGTCAGCTGGGTCACCTTCAGCATGCAGTAAGTTAGTAAAATAAAGATGGCGGCTCTGCGGAAAGTTATCAAGAAAGCCCCGTCCACGTTTAAATCGGATGTATGGACTTACTTCGGATTTGTAAACGAGGGGATGTAAGTAGGGATGTACCGAATTTTCGGCATCCGAAAATTATCAGCCGAAAATGCAAGCCGAAAATATAGGCTACATATAATAATGATAATAATAATTAATAATATATATGGCGCGCCCCGTCCGGCAGTGTTCAGCGCGCATGTTTCACTCTCCTCGTCACTGCGCGGTTTGTCGCTCCGCTCAATATTCCGATCTATGAATGTGCGTTCCGCTCGTGCTCACCGGAAAAACAAAGTCTGCTCAAATAACGCGCTGACAGGAAATTTCTATGCCGTATACTTGCTCCTGTTTGCAGTAGCGCTACTGTGCTGTAACATGCTGTAGGCAAGTTCAGCTGTACTGGGCAACGCTGGTAAAATGATGCTACCTTCAGTGACGCTATGCTCTGCTCATATGCTCTGATAATAATAGCTTTGTAGGACTATACATTATTTGGATAATTAGTCCAAAAAAAACAACTTATATCTGATTCTGTTACATAGAAGTGAATAAAAATAATATATTGATATTTAATATTAAGGTAACACTTTTCAATAAGGTTCCATTAGTTAATGTTAGTTAATGTATTAACTATCATGAACGAACAATGAACAATACATTTATTACAGTATTTATTAATCTTTAGCGGCACCGTCTCTGTCCGGCGCGGGTGAAATTATTATAATGCTGAAGGTGAGGTACTCACCTTCATATTTCTTCATTAAATAACTTATAAAGTAATTTGAAAACCTTGTGTGAGACGTAATTTCACAAACAGCGTGAGTGAATCACTGCGCGCGCTCTCTCTTTCTCTCTCAAAATACGCAAATGGCTTCAAATCACCACACATCGCGTCTATCTATAAGCGAGCTGCACGCTGCACAGCTGACACAAGAATTGTCACTTGCACTATCGAGGCAGTGTCACATCGTCACTAAAGTTTATAAATTGCATTACTTTTTAATTCTTGCCAGTGTTTAACCATTCAGCGCTCGCATGCTTTCCTGGAGACCGTGCGCTCATGCACACTCACAGCACACACACATAATGCCAGGTTCACATTACTCCGTTTGCAGTGCGAATGTGGTGCGTATTTTTTCAGCGCTCATGTTAACGGATTAATAAAGCGTGCACACGGTTGCGGTCCGGCAGTGTGTTCAGGAGCGGTGCGTCTGCAGCATTGCAGAGATCTTTTCCGCACCGAGTCTATTTTTGCTTTGCTGCAAGCGCTGAATTAAAGTAACAGCGCATTGTTTGCGGTAAATATGAACATGGATTGACACGAAAATGTAGTAATTACACCATAAATGCATATTATTAAAGTCTCCTGTGTTGGGCCCAATCCCAATTCTCTTCTGTTTCGCGCATTCACGTGAAGGGTGTCTCAATTCTCTTTTGGTTGGAGGGGTAGGGGTAGAGGAAGGGCCCAGATAGCCCTTCAAACGAAGATTTTTCGGGACCACACTTCAAACGAAGGGGTATGAATTATCTCAACGTAAACCGGCTTCAGCGGCAACATGGCTGCCCGAGCGAACAAAGACACATAAATGTAAGCATTTTTGGCATTAATAAAGATTTTAACGAAAAGTGCTGCAATGGCGATCCTGCGCGCAATTCTCAAAACGCCCACAAGATGGCGGCGTTTATCGGTGAATCCGATATTACAAAACCGTTATCCGATTATGGTAAAATGCTTAAATATCAGGAAAAATATCGGTAAATCGATATATCGGTCGATCTCTAATTCCCACCCCTACTGTCTATAAACAAAGTATATGTGTGGAACACAGTTCATTGATGGAGCTGATGATATGAATCGGGTGCGAGAGAGAGATGCAGAGCAGGGGGACGCGAGGAACAGGATTAAGAAGCACTGCTTTAGAACAGTGACTATGTTTACATGGACATCAGTAATCTAATTATTTACCTTATTCTGAATAAGACAATATTATGATTAAGGTGTTTACATGAGTTGCTTTTAAAATATTCCTTTCATGTTCCCGTTTTACATGTTATAGTACATAGATCGATTAATGGCACGTCATTATGTCACCAAGCGACACATCCCCTCCAGAATTTCACATAAACATAGTTCATTTTTAATTTACTGAAAGCTTCAAGTGCAGTTAATTATTTGTCATGCTGTGCAAACAGACGACAGCGCTGTTGAAGCCATGCTCTTTTGTTTGACCACTGCCGTGTGTGTATCCTGTCGCAAAATGCGCTGAAAAGTCCTACATGACGGTAATAATGTGATGAAGGTGTTTACATGTCTATTCTGCACTTCAGTAATGCGACTAAAATAGGAATTTAATACAATTTAGGGTGTTTTAAACAAGTGAATCTTGTTAAAAGTTACATGCGGTGGTCGTGCTGGAGCTTTTCCTGAGCATCAACCACATCAACCCGGTGAGTGAACAATATAAAAGCGGCTTCGCGAGACTAATGATGAGCAAATACAACAGAGAGAGAATTAAATTCAGCGCTTTTATTTCCAACATGTGCTCATTCATGGCTGCATATTATTTAATTCAGGCAAAGTTACGTCTTTATTGGGACAGGACTTGACGGATTATTTTACGTGACTCCGTGAGTGATGATGCCATGTACAGTTTTGGGTGTTTCATTTTTAATTTACTGAAAGCTTCAAGTGCAGTTAATTATTTGTCATGCTGTGCAAACAGACGACAGCGCTGTTGAAGCCATGCTCTTTTGTTTGACCACTGCCGTGTGTGTATCCTGTCGCAAAATGCGCTGAAAAGTCCTACACGACGGTAATAATGTGATTAAAGGGATACTCAACCCCAAAATGAAAATTGTCACTAATCACTTAGCCCCATGTCGTTCCAAACCCGTAAAAGCTTCGTTCGTCTTCAGAACACAATTTAAGATATTTTGGATGAAAACCGGGAGGCTTGTGACTGTCCGATTGACTGCTAAGTTCAACCGTAACGTTATGAAGCGACGAGAATACTTTATGTACGCGAAGAAAACAAAAATAACGACTTCTATTCAACAATTCGTCTCCTCTGTGTCTCTCTGCATCACTGTAGCGCAATGACAGCGCTACAGGATATTATTTTGGAAAATATCCGCTGAATGCAAGCAGCGTACGCTATTCTGTGTCAGCCGCGCTGTTTTCGTTCAAATCAAAGCGTAAATACACGTAGAAAACGTTTCCTTGTGTCGCAAGGCTTGTGACTGTCCGATTGACTGCTAAGTTCAACCGTAACGTTATGAAGCGACGAGAATACTTTATGTACGCGAAGAAAACAAAAATAACGACTTCTATTCAACAATTCGTCTCCTCTGTGTCTCTCTGCATCACTGTAGCGCAATGACAGCGCTACAGGATATTATTTTGGAAAATATCCGCTGAATGCAAGCAGCGTACGCTATTCTGTGTCAGCCGCGCTGTTTTCGTTCAAATCAAAGCGTAAATACACGTAGAAAACGTTTACTTGTGTCGAGGCTGACACAGAAGTTTTGTCGTAGTAGTTTTGACGGCATGGCAACAACTCTTCTTCTCTAAAGCAGCGCAACATGGCCTTGCCCCCTTTGTTCCATGTTCCTGGGGGGCGGGGTTTATGTAAATTTCAGGGTTTGTGATGTCACCGACCCGTGAAGAAGCTTGTTGTAGTCCCTTCCAGCTGTTTTTGTAGGCATTAAACTGCCATAATTTTAAAGGACAATATCTCCGTTTGCATTAAACTTTGTGTTGTAAATTTTTAGATATTGTTTATGCTCAAGCAGCAACATTACACACTAACTAACGTTAAAAAAGTGAAATCACAATCAGCCACCGCTTTAATTACATTAGCTGGGAATGGTTTTCTTGTGTTGTGTTTCATGGGTTTGATTGTCATATGTGTGTTGAAAATTTTAGCGATTCAGGTGAAGCCTTTTGGACACTCTGTTGGCATCTCTTGTTCCGAGAGTGTTGGCACAAGTCTTGAACCTCGGTATTTAACATCAACACCAATTAAAAGGCCACAAATTGAAGACACCACAATCAATGACAGCTCAACATGCACCTCAAAGCAATTGTCAGATGTCAACTATGAGCCTGATAACACTCAAGAAGGCAGTGAAAAGTAAGTCTAGTTTTACATATGCATACACAGGGTAGATGTCAGGGCTTCTAGGGGAGGTTTGAGATGATCAAAAAAGATCCCTCATTAGAAAGTAGGATATGACTTGGCAAGCTATATCTGTTTGTCCAGGGTTTGCCAACCACTCTACAAAGCCAGGAAATAAATGGGGCGAATTCCAAACGGAAGTGAGCATCCCTATGCCCTACTCCCTTCAAAGGGCAGAGCCCTTGACTTGTGTTCTTTGCAGGGTGTAGGGCATTACTGTCTCGTATAAGCGTTTGGAACTCCCTTGGCAAAGGGAATGACTGACCAAATGTTACCTTGACAATGCTGCGCGTGCGTGCAGCATTCAGCGCTCCACCAGTTGTTGCAAACATATATTTCTTCTCCTTATTTTATTCAAATACTGTCTAATTGTGTCTTATTTACTGTTAAACTTTTTCAAACTAAACTTGCTTACATGTTTAAAGTGTTTTAAGTGAACATATTTCACTTAATGTTTTACTACATGTTTTAAGTGAACATATTTCTATAACTGACGAAAAATATTTTGTATTACATTAAAATATGAAGACAAATTTAATTAGCCTATTCTACTTATGTTTGTATGTGAATTCGAAATCAACCCCAACTGTGCTTTAAAATACATCGCAAGATATCCTAACCGAAGATCACATGATCACAAACGAAAATCACTTTCGTGATGTGACCGTCGCATGTTCCCTTCACTAACGGACTTCCGGAAGGGCACTTCGTCAAGGGATTCAGTTGTTCACTTTCATTTGGAACGTCCCTACAAATGGCGTCCCCTTCCCGAAGTGCCCTTCAAGGGCGCAAAAAAGCCGTTTGGAATTCGCCTATGGTAAATGAAGACCATTTGCTACAGCTATTTCAGAAGTGTACAACATGCCACCATACTTGCAGTTGACAATTTTGTAAATGGGACATTTGTATCTATCACACAGGTGATGATAATTGTAGCAATGACAAATTGGTACAAACTATTTTTTTTTAAATTTCATTATTTATTTGGTATTGTCCATATAGATTTTATTGTTTCAATTTTGCATAGGTCTGTTCACAGTGCCTCCACAAAACACAGTGGAACAGCCAGCCATTCATCTGAAATACACCAGCTGGAAATCTGCATTTGTCGGCGGCAGTAGCCTTTAGTGGCACATCTTACATACAGATCCACAAGGTTTGTCTTTTGTCAAAATGATCTATAAACAGGAATTTTCAAGGTTATTTCTGCTGATGTCATGTAATATTTTCCAGGTCCTGTCAGCTCTCTGTCTGGAATGCATTTGTCATCAAAAGGTCTTTCTCCAGCCAACAATCTTGTGGCACTGGAGGTTTAAACAAAATACAATTTTGGAGAGGGTAAGGTGTTCTGGAAATGCTGTTGTCTTGGATGGTGACATGAGAGCTGATTCAACAGGTTTGTTAATTTTGCATGAAAAGTAACTTTCAGTTTCATTTAGTCATTCAAACCAAATAGTATGCATTCTAAATGTCGGCAAACATTGGATTAAAATGTTGTACAATGTGACAAGCTTGCTTAAAGGGATAGTTCACACAAAAATAAAAATTGTCATTAATTACTCACCCTCATGTCGTTCAAACCTCTAAGAACTTCAGAACTTAGAACTTCATCTTCAGAACATAAATGAAGATATTTCTGATGAAATCCGAGAGTATTCTTACCCTCCATAGACAGCAACACAACTGAAATGTTCCCAGACCCAGAAACTTAGCATGGACATCGATAAAATAGTCCATGTGACATGAGTTGTTCAACCGTAATTTTATGAAGCTATGAGAATACTTTTTGTGTGCAAAGAAAACAAAAAAATAACGACCTTACAATTCTTCTCCTCATCCCGTCTGCTGCAGCATATTTTACTCTGTAGTGTTACTAATTTACTCTAATATAAATGTTATGTAATGTAATAACACAGTGTTTCAAATGTTTAAATTTTTAATTATGGTTTTGCAGTCATACAGTTTTAACTATCTTCAGTCCTACTCTGCTGCTGCGTCATTTATAGCCTGGTTAATAACATGATACTCATTCTGCACTTTTGTCACAAACCTGCCTAACCTCCCTACAACACAGTCTTTCAGAACCAGCGTCCATGCTCTGGCAGTAGCCACAGGAGCACCCGAATGAGAGGCATAGTGATGTTTAGACAGTTTAACTTGATAAATTAAAGTTGTTGATTGATCATGGGAAGCAAGTCAGTTATCTGCCAGCAGAGCTGGGTGGTAACTGATTACATGTAATCTGAAATACGTAATCAGATTCCAAATATTAAGTACTTAAGTAATTAGATTAAATTACATTTTAAAATACTCGTAATCAGACTACAGTTACTTTTTTTATGGATTACATGATTACATATTTACACCAGTGGTTCTCAAAAATGTCCTGGAGGACCCCTAGCCCTGCACATTTTGTATGTGTCCTTTATCTAACACACCTGATTCAACTCATCAGCTTTTTTGTAGAGACTGCAAGACATGAATTGAGTGTGTCTGATAAGGGAGACATACAAAATGTGCAGGGCTAGGGGTCCTCCAGGACAGGTTTGAGAACCCCTGATTTACACAATAGCAACAAAATATTCATAATTTTATTGTTCCAATTAGTTCGCAGTAGAAAAAAAACAAGCCACGCCCTCTATTTTTCTTATTCAATATTCCGTTTCTCTCGGAAGTATGTCACAATATGGAAGTAAAGTTGCTCGCAACTTCCGGTTTACGTGGACTGGTACTGGTAGGTTTCTGTGGGAAATGAGAGCCTGTCGCTGTTCGTCTTTGCGTCATAACGTCATGTCTGTATACCTAAAGAAGGAGTCCCGGCTAATAGCCTATATCGCATGTGAGGAAGCTGCAGGTGTCGGATCATTTATAGACTTTTTTTCACAGCAGCTGGAATAATTAAATTAAATCATTTTGATGGCGGATTGTAATGGATTTGTATGGAAAGGTCCATACAAGAATCATCAATGATAACTGGAGAGTCACCAGTAGTCTACAGGTAATGCTAATGCACACTATATACACATAGTCAGGCAATGCTGATATTGTTAACATTAACAATTTGAGAACAAAGTATAACAATAATAATATTTTGTACGGTTTGCTGTGATATGAGCTAAGCGATTGTTAGATTTAATCAACAGTGGTAGCGTGAAGTATTGCAATGCTTTTCTTCTTAGTTGGTCAGAATAAAAGTAAGTGGCAGACTCGCTTGTTCAGATGACATTTTCTGGTGAAAATTCTTATTTGGGTCATACTTCCAAGACGTAAAATCTGAAGTGCAGTATCCACACCGACCGACCGACTGACTGACAGCCACACATACACCTCAAAACATTATAGATTAATCTGCGCTGAGGAGCTGTGCTGATGCACAACTCACATAAAGATGATAATTCCACAAATAACTGCAATTGCAGGTTTCAAAAGCAAAACTTACGGACTGCAGCTTTAAATGAATTGCATCTTTATCATTACGTTTTACTACAAATATATTTAAATTCATAATAAACAAGTTTCAATAGAAATTACATAATTTATGTGGTGTTAACCATAAATACTTGTCAGTATGTACACTGTGTGGCGGGAGGAGCAAACGACAGACACAGTGGGTGGCCTCAGGCCTCGCAGAGGCTTTTATTGAACAGAAATTCATGAGTTCACACTTATATATAATAAACAGAGTAAAGGTTATGCGTATTTGGCGTGCTGTCCGAGGGGAGGGCTCCGAGCTCGGAATTTTGGCCCAATCCCAGAGTACCCCCCCTACAGGTTAGGACAGGAATAGTTGTAAGTGCGGAGAAGGGGTGGCGGAGGGATTCTGGAAAAACTGTCAAGGAACAGAGGTGAGTCTGCTGTGTATATATACACACCTCTCATCTTGTTAATTGGGTTGATTACTGATCGTGCTCTCGTGTTAATTATCTGAATGTGCTCCTCCCGAACTTTAATAAAACACCATTAAAACAAAATGTCCAAGGGGAAGGCGTGTCCAAAATAAACGGGATCTGGTGTCCTCGTTGTGCTGGGGGAATTGTAAAGGAATTGCAGTGTTCAGACAGGAGGGGTCCAGGTAAGAGGTGGGGTCCGGCTGCCCTGCGCCTCACCATGTGCCGCCAGCCCCAGCTGTTACTGCGCCCCTCCTCTCTCACACACCCACTGCTGTCACTGATGGGATTCTGGTGAAGGGTGCCGATGATAATTAGGGGGAAGCAGACCTTCTCTTACAACTGATTAAGGTATACAGCTGAACATACTGACAAGCATTTATGTAACTGTTACAGGACTTAAAGCATAGTGTAACTCCTTTTTGAAATATTACTTACCTGGTCATACTTATTTGGCGAGTTAATTATTCAAGTTAACATTCAAAGTGATAAAGAATTGCTAAAATGAGAGGTTTAATCTCTAGAACTAAAACCGGAATGGTTATTATTTACAGATTATTATGTTTTCTTATTAAAACAACACATTTTTGTGAATTTTCACAATCCGTCTTTTTTAATGTGGCTCACAGGTGTAATGTGTTTATGGAGGAATCACAGCAGTGGGAGGATCCTCTTGGACCAGAGCAGCTTTAGCAGGAACCTCTGGGAGCAGGGAGGAGCTCTGGGACTGAAGCAGCCTTGAACACCAGCTCTGGCTGAAGCTACGACCGCAAACACTGGGACGGCCTTGACTGGAACTACTTTGCTGTTCTTTCCTATCATGAGAGGAACCTTTGTAGTGGACAGGACGGGCGTCAGTGTGACCCGGTCAATCATGTCAGAAACCTCTTCTGGGGTTGCAACAGCAGCAGGAACCTTCAGGCTGAACAAGAAGCTCTGGAAAGGTACCCTGTGGAGTGACCTCTGTGGTGCCTGTGACTCTGATCTCTCTGACCTCAGCAGATTCTGGAGCAGCAGCATTCACATTGTTTTCGGAAGTGGCCCTGATTTCTTTGGGACTCATTTGTCCGTGGCAGGAACTTTTGGATCAGACACAACCGAGGCCTGCCAGCCCCGCAAGACGCTAAAGCTGGAGAGATGGAGGGGTCACCTGTCTCAGTCCTCCAGACGCAAGACTGACCCTCTTCACCACGACCTACAGGACCTGAAACACAATGAGAAATTGTACAAATTACACAAACATACTTCATAATGTATAAAAATACATCTGACATCTGTGTAGTGTATATGGATTGACTATATAAACAGTTGCAGCAGGGATTCTGATCACATCAAATCAACACACAATGAGAAATTATACAAATTACACAAACATACTTCATAATGTATAAAAATACATCTGACATCTGTGTAGTGTATATGGATTGACTATATAACAGTTGCAGCAGGGATTCTGATCACATCAAATCAACAAAAAGACAAAAACAAATCATAGACTTAGACTTAGACTTACCTTGAACCAGTCATGGGAGAGCATCTCCTCCAGATGAACCCTCTGCTCCGGGTTGCTCTTTAGGCAACCGGGAATAAAACGGCAGCATTCTGTGCAGAAAAATTAGAGAAATTTCTGATCATTTCCTTCAACTTCACACCTGCTTTCTAAACTCTGAGAGATTCCTGCATTATCCATAAGGCCATTATTTATAAAGCCTCTGTTTTGCATGATTAACATTAAGAATGGCAATGTTGTTCTTTGTTGTATTGACTTTCTTACCATCTGAGAAGCTGGGCTCGATCCAGACATCAGTGTCTATCAGTATTATATCACTGCTGTATGGATAACGGTTGGTCATCTCATCATGGTAAACAGCAGCCTTGATTGGCCTTGACTGTCAAAGTCACCTCTAGAGGAACTGGACTGGGATGGTCAGGCTAGAGGAAAGATTGCTTTAGGATAGTCAGATGGAAGCAGTTTCTCAAATAAGGATTTAGCTCAGTCTGTTTGTCTATTGAAATATCTGTACCTTGTGTTTTACATGAATTTAAGATCTTATAAATTGCAAACCGTAAATGAGAGATGACAGAGATAGCACAGTGCTTGCACTACTTACAAGGCTGAGGTACGGCTTGTTTTCTGTCTTCGCTGTGAATTTCACAGCCACCTGAAGGCCGTCCTCACAGCGGGTCCCTTCAAAGACAGCCTCCTTCCCCAACTTCTCGCCAATGGCATACGTCCAGCAAATGAGGTCTATTGCAAGATAAATAATTGTAGTTACTAGTTATTTTATTTAAGTTCACACTGCAGGACTAAATGAACTGCAAAAAACGGCAAATGGTAATTTAAAACAAAAAAACCTAAAAGAAATGTTTACATGTACATTATTTAAAGCATACATCTTCTTTAACAGATACACACCTAAAATAATAAATTATAAGGAGAGGTTGTTACAGAAGACGTCCTGCAGAGAAGTCTGATCTAAAGACAGCAATATCAACCAAAAGCTTGCTTAAATCAACTAATATCAATAAAACATTGCATACTCTGTTATTTTTTTCATTAAGGGGAAGTTCTGGTTACTTGAAATAGTTTTGAAACCTTTTTCAAACTTAAAACATTTATCACATATAGTGGAAAACGTATTTATTTGCATTTGTATAATGTGATGGTGATGTGTGTCAATGATTAATAGACCTTTTGATGTTCATGTTGATGTATCATCAGTACAGCTCCTGGATGGAGACACACCAGTGTCCTGCTTCTCCTCACTCTGCTCACTCTGAGCTTTGGTGGATTTGTGGGGAGAGAAACAACAGAAGAAAGAAGCAAACCTCCGAAACCTGCTTTTTCTGCCTCGTCGTCTTGGTCTCGTCTCCTCTCCTCATCACCAATAGCCACAGGCGTCTGTCTCTTCAGGAGAGGATGGAGCTCGTGTGGTCGGTGGGTTGTCAGTGTTGTCCCTCCGCTTTCTCTCCACGAGAGTCCCATAATAAGCACGATAAAACGCTATCAACAACTGTAAACTCACGGTAAACTGTTTATAACACACTCTTTACTCGCCGCGAAGTGAGCAGCTGAGTCTCGCGCTTTATATATTCCCGCGGCACCTTCTGAATTCCTCTGTGATATATCAGCGCTCAAACAACAGATTCTGTGGTCAAATGTTTTTATTTGGAATTTCAGCCTTTGTGACAACTTCACAACTAGTATGAACACAACTTGGCTCATTTGGGTTTTTTCCAGTTATTTCAAATCATATTCAGGTCTGAATTTTCGTGTTTAGTCTCTATTGGCTCATTAAGATAATTTAATTCATCTGAAGTGGTTGTGTTTTTTCTCACAGCCACATGAGGGCGCAAGACATCGCTTTCATCATAAAAATGAATGCGTTTCATCCTTCCAGCCTACACTTCAGAAAATACTTACTTTACAGGCTAGTTCTTTGGCCCAAAACACTGCGAAATGTACTAGAATTTCATTTCCCCCTCACGGTAAAATAATATTAATACAAAATATTAAATTCAGTCTGGATTTTTTTTTTTTTTTGTGGGCATTTCTGCTGTTCCTCATAACCATAGGCCTAAATAGTCATCTGCGTCACAGAAAAGACCTAAATAATTACAAGGGGATTCTGGCAATAAAGTTTACATCATATAGACAGTTTGTTTACTGTACTGAACCAAACAATTTGAGCAGATTAATTTGTATTTTTAAGCAACACCAATGACAGAACTGAACTGGAAGTGAACAACTGGGCCCTGGTTTATAAGGTGCCTTCGTTCATGGTTAAGATTTCTGTTTCTCGAAACTATGGCCACTCTGGCAAAGTTCAGGAAACCTGAAAAAAAGTGTCAAAGAACACAATCTTTCCTTCGTTTGTTTTAACATTTTGCTGCGAATGATAACGTTAAGGCAACCGTGCCCTTGTTTTTCATATTTGGTAATACAGCATCTCCAGACACTGTGAAATCGGTTTCCTCCACTAGATGGCAGCATTTCAAAACAATCAAGCTGGTTTAATAGGATAACGTTGTTACACGATTATTTCCTAAATAATTAAATGACGTGATGATAATAAACACCAAAACCTCGATTCATCTGTCCATCTAATTCTGCTTTGTTCAGAGGAAGGCGATAAGGACATTTGCATCAATACGTAATGAAACTGACCAATAAGTTCATGAGCACATCGATGGTCGATCATCAACTGTAATCGTATTTCTAACAGCAGCTAATGTTTTTAAACGAGTTTGTGTTCTCATCCGCATCAGCTGCGAGTTGTCTCTGAATAGATTATTTATAAATGTGCCATGTGATATTATTATAATCCTTTTTATTTAGTACATCACTTTAAGGAAAGGAAAGGGAAAATCAACCACACAGTGTAAACCACACATAATCATGCCATTAACATGTGGGATATAGATCTAATTATAGAATCTGAATTGGAGTTCAAATGTGTAACAGCACTAGAGAAAACGCTCCTATTTGTCATTCTTTTCTAATGTAACACCACTTTATATGATCAGCATAACGGTTAAAAGTTTAGCTGTATGAACTTCACAAAACCAGATGATTCATGTTATCCAGCATGATGTTTCAGGTCATTTATTACTAATAATAATGCTAATACTATTAAGGAAAATGATTACAATTCTACCATATAAACACAAGGAGGAGATGATTTAAGAGAGAATTTCATTGTTTACTATTAGAAGTAACATAAAATACAACACACATTACCGGTCAAAAGTCTGGAATTATTATGATTTTTAAATGTTCTTATAAGAAGTATTTCGCTCTCACCAAGGATGCATTTATTTAATCAATAAGACAATAAAAGCAGTAATATTGTGAAATATAAAATGTCAATTATTCCTGTGACGGAAAAGCTGAGTTTTCAGCATCATTACCGAAAACAGTTGTGCTGCTTAATATTTTTGTGGAAAGCATTATAATTAAAAGGTTGGGGTAATTAAGATTATAAAAAAAAGAAAAAAAAAAAAAAAGAATACTTCTATTGAACAAGGATGCATTACACTGATAAAAAGTGACAATAGAGACATTTATAATGTTACAATATATTTCTGTCTAAAATGAATGCTGTTATTCAAAGAGTCAAAAGCATTAAGCAGACTACAGTGTTCAATATTGATAATAATAATAATAAATGTTTCTTGAGCAGCAAATCAGCATATTAGAATGATTTCTGAAGGATCACGTGACACTGAAGACTGGAGTAATGATGCTGAAAATATAGCTTGTATCAGGAATAAGTTCAGTTTTACAATATATTCAAATAGAACACATTAAATTGTAATAATAATTCACAGCATTTCTGTTTTACTGTACTTTTGATCAAATTGGTGTGCATAAGTGACTTAAAAAAAAAAAAAAAAAGAGTACTACCTCTTGACCGGCAACATCTAAACGGTCCCTTATTTGATAAATGACTTATGACAGTTAGTTTTGTGTGATTCCTCACAAGATAATATTGTAAACTGTATGCATACTGCATTTTGGACATAATTAGGCCTGTATGAGACTGGAGCTGTGTTACTTTACTACTAATGGACTACTAGTTGACTTCTACAGCACCATCTGTCAAATCACTCAAAACAGTTGCTATTGTTGTGAGGTCAAGAGGAAGGCTTATGTTAATTCACGTAGTTGTGT